CCTGAAGATGGCCCTCCATCCATTTAGCCACCAGTACTCAAGGAACTTTGAAATATACTGCGTAGCATGGCACTATGTTATGCTCTGGGGAACCTGTGGCCCTGGATTCTGATAGATTCCGTTTTACAGGTTAAGACAGGAAAGCAAGCAACAGTTTTAACAGTTTTACCAGTGGCGTGAAGGACCAGGAATGGTGTGAAGATAGTTCCTGCACAGGAGGGGAAAGTGAGAGGCAAGACTGGAGAAGCAGGCATTTAGGAAAGGCCTGCATGTGCCATATCAAAGAGTTGGCATTTGATTTTAGAGCCACTGAGCAGTCAAGAAGATGTTGGGCCAGGTGTGGTGATACATGCCTGTAATTCCAATCCCTGGGAGGTGGAGGCAGGAGGATAACTGAGTTTGAGGCCAGTCTAGGAAACACGTGAGTTCAAAGGCCACCCAACTACGTAATGAGTGAGACTTTGTCTCAAAAAACAAAAAGTTCTGATTGCTTTCTTTACTGTCTTTTAAAGAAAAATCTCTATCCTGCTGAGAAAAAGAGCAGTTAGAAAAATATTACAGTAAGGGGAACTCGAGATTATGGTAATGGCAATCATTCATTCATTCATTTCACAACTGTTTATTAAAGCACCGGCTGATACCCAGAGTTAGTGCTTGTGCTGGAACAGAGGGTGTGGGTGGATGCAGTGGGTAAGATGAGGCATGAGAGAAGAGGGTGCAGAAGGCAGACTGCAGCGAGATGAAACAAGGCATGATGGGCAGAAGATGGCATCAGTAATCACCCCATAGTCTGTAGTTTGGGCACTTTGGAGGACAGTGGCACATCCATTGATAAAGAGAAATCTTGGTGGGTAATGGTCTGGGACATATTGAGATGAGATGTCCCCATTTCTGATGTCCACCAGGCTCCTAGAATGTGGCCTCATCTTCTGAAGCCATGGCCAGCGATGAGTGGACACAGTGAGTAGCTAAAGTCATGAGAATTTGTGACACTTCCCAAGGACCATGTGTAGAGAAGAGGGCCAAAGACAACCCCGGAGAACAAAGAACCAGTAGAGGCAGATGCGGGGTGGGGGGCGACCAACAGATTAAGAAGTGCCTAGAGAGGAAGGAGAAGCGTCAGCAGAAATGAGCTGAGCAGAAAGTTCAAAGGAGAGAGGTGAACAGTGCCTGCAGCAGAAGGAGTGAAATATGGTGAGAAACGAGCAGGGACTAGTGGTGAGGGCAGTGAGGCTGGCGGGACAGTGGGGAGGAATCAGTGATGAAGATCAGGGTGCAGGGGAACAGTGGAACAGGAACTGTGGGCAGGGAGTGTGGTGTGCAGGGGAGGGGTTTGGGAGGGAGACTCAGGAGGGCGCTGCAAGTGGGACGGTTTTTCAGGGGACAGACTTTGTTTTTTCACAGAGATAGAACAGGTTGTCTGTTGAGGCTGAAAGGGTCCAGAAGTAGATGGGGATCTCCAGGAGAACGGTTATCTTGGGGAGGGACTCTTATTGGTAAAGAAGAGGAAGCGATTGCTAAGCATTGCTGGGCCTCATACATGTGCATGAGCCTGAGTCGGCCTGCTGGGGCGGTTCTTCCCTGAGGTGATCAGCATCTTGAGCCAGGAGAGGCCTGAGTGTAGGAATGGCCAGGTGGAGTGGGAGACAAGGAAGTGAGGATGCGCATGAGCAGTCACCATGGAGTCGGAAGATTAAGACACCAGGCAGGCTCTTATTCTACTCTCCAGGTTTCTGATTTGAAGGAGCCTGTTCTCATCACTGATCAGAACCTGTCCAGCTACCTGCTGAAACGGACACAGCATGAAACGGACTTTGCCTGTACATAAAGCTACCAGCCTGTCAGGGCTGCAGTATCACATCCGGGCACTGGCTGGGGTGATGGTGGGTGATTCTTAGGGCTGCTGGAACTTTCTAGAACAATGCAGTGTGCTAAGATTGCTGCTTCACTGTTGAAATTTGTTTTTACACATTTAAGTCATTTATAACATTTACTTTAAAAAATACATTTAAAATTTTCTCTCTTCAATAAATTTCTCATTCACATTTCCTTGTCTTTTTTTAAAGTTCAGTTTAGAGATTTCAATAACATTTGTCCAAACTTGTGAGTAGATGGAGTGGGGTTGGCATGGTCTAAACACCTCTAAGGAAAAGGCTTTATTTATTTATTTTTAATGATGAAAACATTGACCCTTGAATTTCTAGTTTGAAAATGCAAATAATCCTAGAGGGCCTAATCCAATACTTGCCTCCTTTTTAATGATGGAGTTTTTGTGCCAGTGACTAAATTTAGGATTCATAAACACCAAAGGTATACCTGGGAGTACAATAGCAGAGTTGGAGGACAATTAAGAGATTTCCACCCAGAGTCTGCCCATTTATTTCTGTCTCTATCGATTATTACTGATAGATTATACCCTATTGCACTAACAATAAGTTAACTCAGGTTCTATTTAGCTGGAAATTGAGAATCTAGACGGGAGTGAGCTTCTTTAAAGAAGGCAAAATATGCAATGAAGGCAGAAGACTTATATCCTGTCTCTCTGAGATCACTGCTCATCACAAGGAAGCAAGTGACCAAGTGGGGGCACATCGAGTACCAGCGCCCAGGCCAGCTTCCCAAAACAGGGAGGAGGGGCTGTTTTTTTATTGACATGAACAGGCACATTCATCTCCAGGATCTTCTCTCATAAATCCTTTGAGACTTACAAAATCAGACCACAGTAAGATACTTTGACTGCCTTCCAAAATAACAGGAACTTAACCAGATAAATTCGTTGAAAAATATTTTGAATATTGCAAAACTATCTGGTTTTGGGTGATGCTACTTCCAATAATGAAAGATTTATTTGGAGAAATATTTCCTAATAATATATACTGAATGCCACTCAGTGCAATGGTAGGATTCCTATTACAATAAAATACTTTTAATATATTTCTTTAATCTTTATCCACTTACCTGTGAGGACTCTTATTGTCCTTATTATACCCAAAATACCTGAGGCTCAGAGGGGTAAGTCACACAGCTCGGAGTTGGTAGAACACTGCTTGGCTGTTCTATTTTTCTAGCTGTCCCCATCCAGAGGTAACTTGTTAATAATCAAAGAGCCTGGGTGAGCAACACTACTGCGCATGTTCTGGTGTCCACTGCCTACTGCCCCACGCACACCTCCTGAGCCCTTCCTTTAACAGCCCACCTCAAGGTGTTTTTTTTTTTTTTTCCCTTCAAAACTCTGAATTTGAAATGTGCTTGTTTTGGAATCACCATTGTTATTGAGTCATGGAGATTTTTTTTTAATCCTCAGAATAAACTGGTTGTGTATATTTAAGTACTTAAAGCTACATTTAACTCCTGGAGTTGCTGTAGTGGGAATCTGTTTAACATCTTGGTAGCATTAGTCTGGCGGATGGTACTAATTGATTTGAGACTTGTGCCTCTGCTGGGTCCGTCCCTGCACACATGTGTTCCTGTCTGTCTCAAGTCATCTCTTTGCAGAAGTTTCTGCCACATGGTCCCCATCCCAGCTGGGGCTCCCATTTCGTTCATTTGTCACCTCTTTAAAACGTCATTCAAGGCCATCTCTCCTTCCTTTTCAGCTCCAGGGCTCTGTGTGCCTGTGATCTTATTTCAGTTTAGTTTTCTATACATAGACCTGAGACCCTGGCCTGTGTGCTAAATGCTGGCACTCCAGAGAAGCAGTGAGGCAAGCCCCTGTCCCAGAAAGGCTTGCAGTCACCTCCCCTGCCAGCCCCTCTTGGCAAGAATGAAAACACGTGGAAGAGAAGATGCCATGGGAGCTGGGCAGTGGGCTCTTCAGACTCACTGGGTTTTATGGGGCACAGCTGGATTCTTTCTTTGGGCCTTTTGCAGTCTAGCACCCAAGGAAGAGAAACAGATGACCTGGCACATGTCCTTTGGGCATGGCACACTGTCAGGGGCAGGTTACTCCAGGCCTCAAGCTACCTGGGGGGACATTGGCTGGGGCGATGTGGTGATTCAGATGAGAATGCTGGAGGACGGTTCTTATTGGTTTTGTAGCCAAAGGGCTTTGACCAGTGGTGGGGATGCTGAAGGTGTATCCAGTAAATGTTAGCCAAAATGATTGAAATAAAGGTGGGTGCCTCTTTACCGTGGCCTGTAGGGACCTGAGGCACTCCCTCTGGTGGACAGACGAGGTGGTGTAGGACCTGGAATGTCCTCCAGAACCTCTCAGAACTGCTTAGAGGCAGGGCTTGAGGAAGGTGACTGAATTATGGGATCTGTACAGATGACTGGCTCCTGGCGAGGAGGTTCCTAGTTTGAGGCGGGTTGTTGGGGGCTGTGACCTGGACGGATATGCCTCGATCGAGCTCCTCTCTTCCTGCTTCCTGCCTCTCATGACCTGAACAGCTTACCTCTCTGGCAGGTCCTTCCACCATGCTACTATTGAATATAACCGTGAGCAAAAATAAAACGCCTCTCCTTTAAACTGTGGTGTTGGGTATTTTTCCTAGCCATGAAGAAAGTGACAAGGTGGCCTTAGAAGAGCATCAGTCAGTCAGGGCAGCTCAACAAGTGTGTGTGTGTGTGCACATATGAGCGTGTGAACATGCATGTGCAGTACATATACAAGTACAAGAACTGTATATTTATTACCTTTTGAGCAACACTCATCTTTCGTGATAGCTATAGATGCTGTGGATCTTCACTAAGCATCAGACCTAGGCCAGCCTTTCAAGTTCCCCTTCCCAAAATGGCATTTACAAGCATAAGTACCACAGGCCAACTGACTGCACCACTGGAGCTCCATGGTGTCCACATGTCACCTCACACCCTTATACATACTGCTAATGACTTACGGTCCCACTCATGCTGGTTTGTACCGATTTTGTATAAAAGATAAAAAACAAATGCAAAATTTGCCATTTACTGCAATACTTTTTGCTCCTTTTCCTCTCACTAGTGGTCCCAGGAACATCATGTCCCCCTTTCCTTGTACATTCTAGAGTTGGGGCACTTACCACGGTGCAGCAGAGGGGCCAGAACCACCAGAGCAGTGCCAGGGCCAGGAGGAGGAACAAGATCAGCAGGGCGATTGCCAGAATGGAGCCATCTGACTGTGGGGCGGAGAGAGAGGTGGTCAGCAGCAGTAGTGAATGGACAACGCACGCTTTTCCCTCCCCAAACTCTCACCAATAGCCTGGCCAGAGAAGGTCAGTTTGCCAAATACATGATTGAAACTCTCTGGCTATCACACTGGGCTAATGAGCTCATAAACTGTGTTTATCCAGTTTTCAAAGGAAATGGATTTGCCTTTTTAGGAAGGCCCAGTTCTTCCCTTTGAGGACGGTCGGAGGGACTTACCCTACAGGAGACCGAGAACAGGCCCTGAGACGGCAGGCCACGGTCCCTTCACCCTGCAGTTTTGTCTCTCACCTGGTGACAACCTTGAGCCCACTGGGCCACATGTTTTGTCCAAAATCTGGGCTGATTCAGGAGAATCCTACTCAGGATGCAGCCTACTCTCCTGACCCATTTCTCTTGGGGTGCATGTAAGGGACTCCCAGACTATGGCTGGGAAGCCCAAAGCCCTGGCGGAATCCCAGGGTAGGGGCAGGACCACTCTTCTGAACCTGAGAGGGGAGGGTGGGTGGCTGAATCAGCACAGCAGTCAGATCAAGTGGCGTGTGCGAGCCAGGAAGGGAGGCACCTAAGACCAATTTTACCCTTTTCCATAAGTACCTAGGCCAGCCCTGAAAACAGACATGGTTGCTGTGGCCTGAGACGGTTGTTAAATTTTAGCAAATAGAAGTCTTGCTCTGTAACAGCAATCTTTGCCTGCTGATTGAAGTAAACCATCTGAGAACACAGGTCCAAGTGTCCATCCCTCCTCCCCCTAAGTTCTTGGAAGCACACATGGGTACAGGTTTCTGAAGGGCTTGGGGAGCACACTGCTAGGAGTATCAAAAGCTCCTTTTTGTATAAAACTGGCAGTAGGATTTTTAGCCCAGTAAAATAATTAAGTGTGTTTGTACAGTTAATGATACGAATATACAAGGAAAACAACATATTCAACAATTAGGGAAGACCACATAGTGTGTAAAGGAATCATCAAGCAGTTAATCTCTATGTTGATATTATGCTGTCAAATCATATTTAAATGACATGGGAAAGCATTTTTGGTATACTGAGTGATTCTGTACACGTGGCATGAGTGGGAGGACAAAAATGTCTTCTCTGATATTTACTAAAGTTTTTGACTGATACTTCACTGATATTTGCTAAAATATTAACAGTGGTGGTGAGTTACGGTAATTCATTTCTTTTTTAAAAAACACATGTCTCTTTTAGCACTTCCAAATGAAGAAATAAACTATTAAGGTTGTTCTTTAAAAATTTCCACACGGGATTCCCTTTGGGTGGTATCTGGTTGCCTGGGGATCTTGTTCAGGTCAGGGGATCATTGGAGTTCACAGGTGGGCTCAAATGGAACGAAGCTTCTGATCCTCTGTAAATGACACCCACAATCTCCAGTGTTGTCACAAAGAGCACATGCAGATCAGTGTTGTCAGGGAGACCATAGACAGCCCAAGAAACATCAGGCTCTTGTGCACACTCTCCCTAGCACCCTTATGGGGGAGACTGAGTGGCCTGTCCCCCAACATGCAGCAGGTCAGCATCAGAACTGAGATGGGACCCACTCCCACTTTGAGCTCTCGGCAAGGGCTACTGGAAGCGGTTTAAAAGCAGCTCTTACTCACTAGAACTCCCTGGAATGTCTTTGACCTGAAAGCCAGGGAATTAAACACTCCTGGCCCCCACACAAGAAGCTAAGGCTTAGGAATGCCAGATGATTCCTAAGGGGGATGCAGCCCCCAAGTGCAGGTGCAGGGCTGGGGAGAGTGCACAGGGCTGGCGGTGTGCATGGCCTAGGTTAAGGGGACACCCCACACCTACAACACATTCCCATGAGAGATGACACAAAGCCACGCTCTCAGTGGTGACAATAAGAAATCACACACAATTTCCAAGTTTCTGTTAGTCACGGATGGCCCTCCTTATCTGCTGTGTCTGTGTTCTAAGTCTGTAGCATGGAGGAGGGAGGAAGATTAAAACAAGCTGCAGGACGCAGTAGACATGGCCGGGCAATCACCGTAAGCTGTTCTACAAACACTGAGCTGTAACTCACCCTCCCTCTATTCCTTGAAACAACAAGAACTAGGAACACTTCAGATCATCAGTCTTTTGCGTTTGGAATAATAAGTGATTTTGATCAGTGTTATGGATTAAAAAGTGGTGGTTAACTTAACGCAAGCTGGATTATATCAGCATGGTGCTGAGTGTAGCTATCCCACCTGAGGAAAGCTGCCAGCATAAATAGAGACGTGAAGGAAAAGCTATGCGTTGGTGTGCTGAAGTGTTGAGGCATTGTGAGTTCCTCCTGTGTTGCTGTCTGAGCTGTTGGTTCTCCTGGAGAAGCTCTGGTCCTCACATTGCGCATTGCTTCCTGGATCCGGAGGAGAAGACGTGTGCTGCTTGGTCTCCAGGATAAACTCATCATGCTGGCTTCCTGGCATGTACTCCAGTGCGCTTATTGTTGGAAGACCTTGGGGCCTCCTTGTCGCTAAGGATGGCTGTGGTGCTTTTCAGGACAGCCTGGTCTTTGTTGTGAGTGTGACTTCATGGTTCCAGCACAGAACTCTCACCCTCTCAGCCCAGGTCCTTCACCCCGCTGGCATAGACTTCTGAGCTTCCACCGCTGACCTCTGGGCCTTCCCGGCATGGATCCGTAAAAGAGATTGGCATGAGTCCCTCTTGTGGGTTCTGGACTTCCAGGTGGACTCGTGGGAGGCATTATCATGAGCTCTGGGTTTTCATGTGGACTCAGTGGGTCACTGCTGTGGATTCAGGCCCTTGGCTGAATATTCTATGTCTTTGGTGTTGTGAACAGATTTCCTGCATTTTCTTGTGTTAACTCTGGGTGACCATCATAAGACAATATTATAAACTCCATGTCCTACTTTAATTGTTCTCCTCCCAACCCTGATTACAACAATACATTACACACAATTTATTCTTCTCCCCGTTTTTCATTTCAGAGGCATAAAGTGAAGCAGAAGGACAGTCAAACAGTGTGGACAGGCTTTTGCATCCTCATAGAAGAAGGTGAAGGTCTCCTGCGAAGTGGCAGGAGTGAAGGACCAGGCTGACAGCAAGCAGGAGGCTTTCTCACTGGGAGACGCCTTCCTAGATTTGGGCAAAGCGACAGCCAGCTTTTCTACCACCAGGTTTGCTCTGCCCTTGGCAGCTCTGGTGTGTGCATCCGTGCTAGAGAAGCAAGTTGGGCACAGGAAAGGATAAGATGCGGGGGGACCCTGGAGGGTGAAGCACACAGGAGCAGCAACTTCTTTACGCTCTGGTGACAACCCAGGCACAAAGCCCCACACGCAAGGCCTGGTTTCCTGGCTTCCAAGATCTTTCAGAAACCATTATGTTCCCAGTTCAGAAGGGTCACCATTCAAACAAAAGCTATGAACTGTTTCCAGTACATTTCAACCTGAAGCTAATGTTGTATAAGATAGATAAAAACAACTCCCTATGTATAAATAACTTTCATTTATTCATTCAGCAAACATTTGTTGAGAGTCTCTCTATGCTCACTGAGCAGACCCCAGAAACACAGGACCCCTTAGAAAGATCTAAGGTGCTCATGACCTGCTGAGGGGAAATGTTTAAACCATCAGCCACAATACAGGGGAATGCATGTAATTAGCTATATACCAGGGCCTTTAATAAATAAACACTCTCTTTTTAAAAAAGAGCTTAGTTTCTGGTGACAGTGGTAATGATAATAATTAATATTAGCATAGTTAATATTTACTGGGCACTTACTATATGCAGATACTATTCTTTCTAGGTACTAACACACTTTCCGTACACTGATTTATTTCATTATCTGGAACAACTTCATAAATCCAGTATTTTATCTTTCCCATTTTATGAACATGACGTAAGAAAGGTGAAAACTTGCCCAAGTCTCATGGAGAAGCCAGAACTTCATTATGGTCAATTTGGCTCCCGAGTTTAACCAGCAGGCTGTTGCTCTTAGCAAGTGGCCAAGGGCCGGAGAGCACCATGCCCGGGACCCAGCGCTTCGGGGAGGAGGTGGCGTTTGGCTCTGCAGGGGCAAGCAGGGGCTAGCACTCCTGCACAGACAGGCAGGAGCAAAGCTCTGGGGCTGTGAAGGTAGGGTGTGGTGTGGCAGGGAAGGCCCAAATGGGAACAGCACAGTATGTGTGGGGTCTAGTGGAAAGGAGGCAGGCTCCCTGCCGTGAGAGACCACGTTAGCCACCACGGGGAGTCACTGTCTCCAGCCAAGGGGAGACAGCCCTCCCCTGGTAGCCAGCAGTGGTATATCTTCCTGCTCAATGAGTGATTTTAAGCTTGGTCAAGTGCTGAAGTATAATGTGCTCACACAGAGGCCTCCTGTTAAGCAGGCCGACAGCTAATATTAAATTTGAGGGAAGGATGGTCTGGCCCTGCTCCTTCCTCCATGCCTTTATGACATTCTCTGAAGGCTTCTAGCTTCAGTGGCCAAGTCTCTGCACCCTGGCTTTCTGTTCTCAGCTCATGGAATGAGGACATCTCTTTTGAGACAAGGAGACATTGTTCTCAAAAGTATAGATTTGGAAACTTGAATAACTAAAACTTCTTTTACTTGGTAGCATCTCAGGATTTTGAATTTCTGACACATGGCCTGGGATGGGATGAGGAATCGTGTGAGGGCTTGTGTACAATAGGACAGGAGACAGTCAGGCCTCTGGACAATAGCAAATCAGACAATGCTGTTCTTTGCTGTTTTATTTTGGGGGTTGCTATAGTAAAAGGAGGAAGATTAAATGGAGAGGATTTAGCAAGATACTGGGTGGATTTTGAAGTCCTGTAATATCTCCAATGTTTTGGTTTTATTGGTTTTGTTCTTTACTGTTTTGTTCAATTTTATTATAACTGATGATATAGGCAATTCTTTTTAAGATAGCAAGAGGCATGGTAACCATTGTTGATCAGCTTGTATTCTGTTTTTACATTATGTACTATGTCCATCCTTTTGATTTGA